AAAAAAAAACCCCCATCTAAAAAACGCTGATTATTCTGTGTTCACACTCAAGTACAATGTACATATTTTTGGTACTGCTGGCAGGAAGTTTACAAACACATGTTACTGTTACATTTTAGAGGCCGCACACTTTGCCACATAATAAGACTCAAAGATGAAAGTAAACATATTTCGTTCCAGGAATTAAGAAAGTTGTATTCTTTTTAAGCTGAAACGCGAACTTTATGCCGAGTCCCATGTTGCCATGTGCATTAATTTTGCTTGCACCGTTCCAACAATGCAGTGCAGCATCGATGTGCTGTGCCTTATGGTCATCTGTAAACTGTTTTAGAACCGACCGAGCTGACATTTTCCGGTATCTTAGCTCATTAAAGACAGTTATGTGAACTGTTGACTTAGAAAGATCAAGGGCATCAACAATGAAACGAATTTTGAGTCTCTTGTCACCACGAATGAGTTTTGAGTCTTTCAGTATGTTCTGCATTTTTTTGGTCTGTGTTAGTGTTCGCAGACGGACCACGGTTTCTGATTCACTTATCACAAAGATTCAGATTCGTATGCTCCTCTAATCTCTGTTTTTAACCAAATTTTGTATTAAAGTTGCAACCTTTGTTCTGACGTAGTACATTGTATAATTGAAATGGTACTATTCATTCTGTTCATTTTCATGGTGCACCAAAATCGAGAATTCAACGACCTGCTAAAAACTTATAACAAAATTTAAAGACAATTAGATAGGTCTAGTTACTGAACTATGATGGCCATTTTTCTATTTCAATTCTGGAACAACCTCATATGTACTCGGAAATACATGTATACATGTACATGTACAATCGATTCCGCTAGTCTGTTCTGTCGTCCACTTTCGACTTCACTTTCTGTCCCAACCCCCTCACCTCCTTTGCCCACTCCTCTGCACTCCTGACTCTTTCTGCAGCTTTTCTACTGCTACTCCTTGCCTCCTCCTTATTGCTGTCTTTCAGCCACACCCCTGATCTTAAGGCAGGTAAGATCTAATCTAACACCTAGCCTTCTCTGATAAGGGCGAAAAATCTCGGAGGCCCCGTATGCCAGTTACGCACGTTAAAGATCCCTTGGTGGTCCAAAATCGATAAGAGTAGGCTTCAGCCGCCATCCGAGCAAAATTCACAATTTCCTACCAACTGGAAATGTTTAATGTGTCCTGGGCGCTCATATGACCTTATGCAGTGGCGAGCGCTGTAAAACACTAACCAATTTTAAAAAATGTTTGATACAAGCACTCACAGTAAGGGATCAGGACAAAAAACAAATTAAAGGAGGATACAAATAGAATAAACATGTGAGTTATTAAATGAAGACACAGAATAAAACAACAAAAGCAGCTGATTTCCTTTCAAAAAGCAGTCCATGCTTTGAGATTTATTCAGATGAAAAACTTTCAATCTAATCAAAATTACCAGTCCAGACAAAGACAAAAAGACATAGATCTACTGTTTCCCCAGACCTCTTTACAGTGCTAAGATACAAATAAAACAAGCCCAGAGGGGGGCCAAAGGAAAAAACGCTCAATGCAAAGTGTGGCTTGCTGCAATGCAACGTGATAATAATAATAATAGTATGTCGGCCAATATCTGATGATGACCAACATACCTGCTGAGGTGAACAAAAGAAGTAAAGGTCAAGATGACTTAAGGCTTCTGCTAAGGCCAATGAGACCAATACTGGTAAAAAAGAGCTTGTAATATTTTTTAGCATTCAAAAGCTTCATATCCGTTCATTTCCTCTCTTAAATTCAGCATTTCTAATATTCATGAAACCTCATATGGCCTGCAGCCCAGTGTGACTACTGCTCTCTAATTGGATGTGTTTTGTGAACAGCCTACTGGCTACTTTTTTAAGTAGGCTTGTTCAAGGTCATTCTATGCGAGGGTGTCTCAGACCAGACTACCTTAGTGCTCAATCACTATTGGCTCACTCCAAAAATTACTGGCCAGGAAAATTACATAATATGCTAAATTTGTGTACAGCTCACAACATGGCTTCATTTTGTCTTAATCATTTGAGTAGCTGGAAAAATACAATAGAGCTAAGCTTATTTAGAAAAAAAAATGTCATGTTGTTGGCTGGTCACAAGACTTCGCAAACACTATTACACAATTTGAGACTTGTCAGAATCTTGCATCCGTCCATAAATTTATCATAAACATGGCCTAGAAAAGTCAATACAGTAAAGTAAGAAGATGCTGAGTTTAGGAGAAAAATCCAAGTCTGGTAAAGATCAGGTAAAGGTGATACAGAGCCAAAGCAACCACAGATATATGCTGGACGATTGCTATATTTCTTAAAATCTTGTAATACATCACAATTCATCACATAAACCTCGACAACTTTTTCCTCATTGGGTATGAACAAAAGATAAAATATTGCAGGTAGGAGCCTGTTACATGATACGGTACATCAACATAACCTTCAATTCGACCAATGATTCATATTTATAATTAACCTAATCTGTCATAGATGGGGCTCTTCACGAAAAAGTTCTCAAAGCAAAACTACAGAGAGCGAGGATATTTTTAAGTGCTTTAGGGTTATTCATGAGAGTATTTTTTTCCTATGAATCACTTCAAACAGCAAAAAAAGATTTTTCTATCCTCTAAGCAAGAAATGCACATGAGCATTTTGTGGACTTTACAACATTTTTCCAAATATTGACACTTCATTGATTAGTCATAGCCTCAGCAAATCTATAAAATTTTTTACATGAATCCATACACCTTTGCACATGGCACTGACATAAAATTTACCAAATAAAAACAGATAAGGTTATCTCCTTTTTTTCACTAATTATCTAATTCCACCACACCTGGTCAGACAACCAAAAGCCCACATCTCACATTTTTCAAACTTATGGTGACAAAGGACAAGGTCTCCATCCAGATCGACACAAACTCTCATTACACTCTACCACTTTCCACCCTTCCCGCCTTTCTTCTTCTTTTTGGCCGCTGCCGGCTTCTGCTGTCGGGGCCCCTGAGCCATGGGCATAGGCGAAGTCGTCGAACCTTGTGGGGAGGAAGGAGAACCACCGGACCCCGAGGGGCGGGGCGACGCTGGCTCACTTCCGCTTCCTGTCTGTTTGCTGGCATCTCTGTGGGTGTGAGAGTAAAAAAAACAACGATTGTTCTCGAGCATTGCCCACGCCTAATCTAACTATTAAAAAAAAACACTTAATTATTGTTCTTACTCTTGCAACGGTATTAGTACCGTACCTTCCCTATGGCCAGTCAGCACAAAATAACTAACAACTTGCAAATTCATGTTTTGTTTCAGTACAAGAGAAGTACACAGACAAACCGCCAGCGCTACCATTTGGAACAGGAACTTTGTTTAGTATTACTAGTTTAGTTTAGTAAACATTTTACGGCACTTGCAACACAATAAGGTCATATAAGTGCCGAAGATAAGAGGTGTTACAAAAGAGTAACAACAAACGTAAAAAAGAAGGAGAGATAAGGACGATAGATGTTTAAGAGGAAAGAAGGAGCAAACCACACCAGAGCACCCACCAACCACCCACGTATTAGTAGTTTTACTGCACTAGCAGCACAATAACGACATATAAAAGGCAAAGGTTAGAAGTGTTACAAGAGAGTAACAAACAAAAAAAAAGAAGAGATCACAACGATACATGTTTGATAGGAAATAGGAAAGAAGGAGCAGACCACACCAGAGCACCTTCCAACCACCAACAGAGCTTGAACAAAGTTGAACTGACATAAACAACACAGAGAAAGAAAAGCACCTACCAGCACCACCCTCCACCCACCTATCATATTGCAAGTTGCCACACCAGTGCTTAAATGATCTTACCAGGTACAGACTGCTAGTAAAACAAACAAAAAAAGGGAAAAAAAGAAGTGGAAGCGGCAGATCACACCAGAGCCATAATAAACAATACGAAATTCAGTGGTGAATATGTCCCTTGGGGGAGGGGCAAAGACAAGACACAGAGAAGAAATAAATAGGTGGCAAAAAACAAAGTAAGGCACATTCCCACTTCCGTCTTTGAACACATTACATCGTAACTCGCCTGGACATTTCCTTACGCGCTCCACCCTAACGCGCTGACCTAGCGTCTTTAGAAACGAAGTCTCGTCTTGACGAGGCTCCGGGGCTGAGATTTTGATTTTCAAAGTTATTGCAAAATGTTTCTTTTTCCGTAACATGCGGAAACGAAATTTTTCGGGCCAGTAGTTTTAGTATTAGAGCCGATCGAAGTGCGGTCGCCTTTCCAACACTTCGAAGGTGTCTCAACTTGTTGAAAAGCAACACAACTGAGTTTGAAAAAGGAAATAACGATGGATTTAAGCAAAAACAAGCTTATGACAAATCGGACGAACCAGATTTTGATGAAAACGTTGTAGCAAAAGTTGGGGGCCATTCAGATTCATCAGATGTAGAATTTAGATCAAGGGCCCGACCGCGAGGCTGAGAGTGAGGGGTCGGACACCCCGATTGAACTAAAATTAGAACATTTCCAATAGTTTGCGCATACATTAAGTTATATTTTTCTGAAACTACATTCATTTTTCTTGTTAACTTTAATTTTTTCAGGATTTTGGGAACTTGTTTAGTATTTTTTAAATGTGTTTTTTAAACGCTTGTATTAACGGGAGGTGGGTTCCTTCCCCTTGCTTAGGATCTAGGAATGGATTTCCCATCCTAACCCTTAGGGTGTAATGTGTTAAGACAAGTGTTTTGGAAAACCATCTTCAGGACACAACATGTAATAGCAAAGCTCCCAATTCTGAACTGCCATAGACAAGTCAGTTTGACTTACAAAGAATCTGTGATGGCTTGTGTTGCAGCGGACATGCCCTGGGTACCCTTGCCTGTGAATAAACACGGGGCACAAGATGAAAGGGAGTACATGATAATTGCAAAATATAGTTCACACTGTCAATGGCGGCCACCCATTGTCAAGGAGAGTCATGGCCATCTCAGACAGGTGGTCATCTCACAAAGAGTCATTATAATATAAAAAATATTCAAGGGGGGAAATGGGAAGTGGCCATTTGTACATGAGATTGTCTTATACATACAGGTGGCCATTAGAGCAGGTTCATGGTACTGTCATGACAACCTTACCTCACTTTTTGCATTCTCAATACTAAATTTGTCAGGCAGAGGCAAGAAAAACACACACATTGACACAATAAAGGTCATTTCGTGTCTGGGGGTAAGACATACAGACAGGAAACAACAGAGCGAAAAAAAAAAAGAAGGAAGTAGGGCCTACCAGTGGTGCCCTCCAACCACCTCTGCACCCGATTGATACAATAGGAAAAATACTTTTACTGACATGTAACGAAGTAATCCAGTTCTGGCTTAATGAAACCGTGCACTTCAAACATTATCATTTCAAAGCAACTTGATTTCAGGGAAATACAATGTGTATACAAGCGACTGATATGTTTGTCTTATCTGCCCCAATCTAATTATTTTCAAAAACTCACCGATCTCCTTCCTCTTGTCCTTCCTCTTGCCACGGTAGTAGGACCGCTCCTTCCTTGGCAGCCACCTCTCTGGGTCAATGTCACTGCCGGCCTCGCAGTTCTTGGGCAGTTTGCCTGGGAGATACACACAAACCAAACATCACACTTTGTTTTTGTTTTTATAAGAGTTTTACGGCACTTGCAACACAATAATGTCATACAGTGGAACTCGGATTCAACGAGCTCGGATTCAACGAGAACTCGGATCCAGCGAGATGAGATAGATTCCCCGTTTTTTTTCTTCTTTAAAATCAATAAAAATAACCCGTATTCAACGAGCACTTAAATCAGCGAGCTCGGATTCAACGAGGTCGCTTCCAGGGTGAACAGCCCCCGCAGACGTGGCTTCGCTCATTTTTCTCCCAGAACGAACTTTATCTATTCCCGGAAACCATCCATTGCTCCTACATCGTGAACCATTATTCACTTAGCCGATTGCATGCGACCGATCAGCGGCCTTTTTTCATATCAACCACATGCGTTGATAACACGCGCACGTGTCTACTCTGGTGTGTGTCGTAGTCGGATGGGCAGCCTGCACGCGTGTGACTGTGTGTGTGTGTGTTGGGGAGGGGCACTAGCGGTCCGGGCCTTGAACGTCGCAGACACAAACGCGTCGGTCTTTTTCCCTCTTGGCAACTGATAATTATTACAATGATAAGCTAGTCTTGACGTAGATCTACATAATGAATTGTGCCCTGGTCTATGGAATCAAAAGTTGCTGTATGCTAGGCTCTACACAGCAACACAACTTTTTGGTCAACAATTGAGATGACTCAGCTGCGTACATTTGAACGAATCGGGTCTTTTTTTACACAGCTCATAATATGCAGGCATTTCAGGCACTACCTGTGACTTCTCTTTATACATTACTTGCTCAGTGCCTGTAATTATATACACAAAACCTCATGTTTGCTATAACGAACACTCGGATTCAACGGGATTTTAGGTCAGGCCCGGCGACCTCGTTGAATCCGAGTTCCATTGTATAAGTGCTGAAGATTAAGGGAGTAACAAATATGAAAAAGGAGGAGAGATAAGGACGATAGATGTTTTGAAAGGAAAGATGGAGCAAATCACACCAGATCACTCACCAACCACCCACTGGCGGCTGTCAACTGGGCCCAATAATAGCCACTTCCCATTTCTGCCCATATGTAAAAAAAACAACCCAGCCAATATTAAAATGTCATCACCCGAGAAGTCCACAGGTCTCAGACAATCACTTTTCCCCCCACCAAAATGGGAGGCTGCCTTGGACAATTTTGATTGTATTTAAAAAGAACACATATTTGGTATCAACGCAAAATACCAACAATCTACCTCTGGACTCTTAAGAGTCAAAATGTGTATCCAGCACCCACCACCATATTATGTTTTAGTATCAACAAATACAAATTTAGTAATCTCATCTGGCTTCAAAATTCGTCAAATGGCTTTGACACTTCTAAAGTCTAATGTTTTTCTAAGAGCATCTGCACGTGACTTTGTGACGATCTGACCGTTCGGGTCTGGTAGCTGTTCTTCTTTTTTACACCAGGAAGGTTGGCATTGGGCTGGGGTAGCCAAAAGTAGGAAAAAATCGGAATCAAGTGTATTACTAAAATATTTTCATAAAACTGAAATAAAAAGTCATAACAGTTCCACCAAATTCGTAATGATGGGCAGATCTGTGACACAATCCAAGTCTGAATCACAAAGAGAAGCTTGGCCTTACCCTTCTTCTTCTTCCTCTGTTTTTTCTTCAGCATGACCGTGTCTCCTGACCGCGTATCCCCTGACCTGAAGAGTCGACAAGGGTCGAAGGTTAAAAAAAAAAATCATCACTGACAAGGAGTCAAACTTACAAATAACAGAACAAAATATCTCAGTTTAAAAAATCAGAAATGATTATACCCATCTGCACAAAAATTGAATCCCTTCTAATTTATTCAAATGGCTTTCTACGTTTTTCAACAAATATAAATGCCATTATCCCTATAATTTGTTCTCAAATTCTAAACAATTTAACAAAATTATAGTATTTTAGACCAAAAAGTTTATCTTTTCAAAATAAAATGTTAAAATTGAACAAAATCACTTGTTTCCGATTGGTGATATACTAAGCTTATGGGCCTGACACAAAGTTGAGAGAAAATAACAAGAGACAAACACACATTCCTTGAGATCAACATCAACCCGTGGTAGATACTGACTCTTCAATTTAAAAAAAAAGAAATAGATGAAGATGTTAGGCCATGGAAGGTGAATCAGACTTTTCTCCAATTACTTTTTCCTTTAATTTCATTTCACTTTAAAACAAACTGGACAAAACGGAATCCACATTTTGGCTTAGTGGTGAGACTCACTTTGATCATGTCTCCTTTATTTTTGCTTGTCATGTTCAGTGTGTCCATTCCAATGCACACATATGCAAGTTCTATGACCCCCTCCCCACACCCATAATTTAAATGAATGGTTTAGATCTATTGAAGGTTCTTACTATCATCATGGTTTTAACAATGGTATTAACACAACTGCCTATGTCATGATTTTTGTTTACAAGAAACTTTAACAAAAAAACGGTACTTATATCAATTAACCTATGACGTCAGCAAAAGTGAACTTGTTCCAGTTATTTGATTTTTCAGTACACAAAACAAAACACGGCTACTTTGAGAATAAGAATTAAGTAACAGGCGTTTTTACAACTACACTGGAGTTCATCTAAACTGAAATCTTCGAGACCTGCAGATTTTTTATGGTTTAATCATGTTTTCAGTTTAGAGAGATTGTTCAAGTAAAATATGTTTTTTAAAATCAGGGATTTAATTTCTTTCTTTTTACCACGGTTTTCGGATCAATAGATCTAAAGTTCAACTTAAGCAGATTCCACTGTATAATAGCTTGAAACATTTTAAAAACTGATGATGCTATGACAGTGACATTATGTCGTTTACTTACGTGACGGGCGATGCTTCACCCTTGGCTGGTTGCTGCTTCTTCATGTACTTGGGTCCCAATGTGCTGAATGAGGCCTCTAGAGCATCCACATCCAGGCCTTGCACAATCTTCTCCACTGATGGCAAATCTTTGCTGATCCTGAGGTGCTTATTAAGGATCAAACCTAGGGAAGGGGGATATGAACTAATGACACGTAGCTTATAGGCACTGTCAGCTGTCACATATAACAAGGCAATAAATCTTGCCCTCATCTGAAAACTGCAACTACTGTTAGCATATGACTACTGAACAAAAAAACCCCGCAAAAAACCCCCCCACACAAACAAATCAAAGAATACAGTGACAAAACTGAAAAAATCCTTGAGTACATAAGAAAATTTTGTTTCAATGACAGACAGATAGAGCGCTCATATGACCTTAGCAGTTGCGAGCGCCGTAAAACCCCATACTACTACATACTACTAGACAGATAGAAATATAGGCAGACAAACAGTAAAAAAAAAGACTGAAATAAACATAGGGGAAAAAAGACATACAAATAAGAAAAAAGATAGTAATGGTCAAACAGCCAACAAAAATTAAAAGGTACTACAACAGACTAGCAACTAGTTTAGCCGATTCTATGACACTGTTAGTGCAGATAACAAAGGATACTGTTGAGCTTTCTTGGAGTCGAACAGTGCATAAGCAGAGATAAGCTGAGCCAGGACCAAGGCATCACCAGGACTTGAACTGAAACAGAAAATTCAAGAGATTAATTATTACACAAGACCGAGGACTGTTTTGTTTCATTTAAGTTTTAGTAAGAGTCTTATGGCACTTGGAACATAATAAGGTCATGTAAGTGCCAATGATTTGAGGGTGTTACAAGGGAGTAACAAACACAAAAACAAGCGAGGAGGGTAACAAACACAAAAAAGAAGTGAGGATGATAGATGTTTGATGGGAAAGAAGGAGCAAACCACACCACGTTCTGTTTTGTAGGTATAAGAGTTAACCACTAAAAGTAGAGCAAAGTGTTTAAAGCTGTCAAAGTAAGTAAAAGGGAAGGAGAAATAAAAAACGACAGTAGACCAAAGGAAACATTCAAAAGCATACACGACAAGAGTTGATGGAAAGACAAGAGTTGATGGAGACCTCAAGAAGCCCTTCACACTAATAATTAATAATTCCACAAAAAGCAGAGGGGACTCTAGAAACTGTTCTCTACCTGCGTAGATCCTCCAGCATCTTAGCTGCTGCTTCTGCTCGTCCGTTCTTCAACTGGAAGTCGGCGTTCGCTCTCGTCAACATGGGCAATGCTGATGACTTGGGCTGAGGGGTGACAAGGGAAACGATACAGTAACAAATTAGATTTCATTGCTATATTCTAGTGCTGCCATCTTCCTTGAGCAGAATATTTACATCATTTAAACACTGTATGCTGTTGGTAAGGAAAGAAATAAAAACAGTTTCTTAAGATATTATCGTAAGCAGGGTTGTAATACTATTATTAGTTTATAACCTCTCAGACCTATCAAGGAAAAACAGAACAAAAAATCAATAGAGTTATTCAGTGCATGGAAAATTTAAGATATACAGACAGCAACAAAAGAGGGACAGTAAAGAAGTAGGACTTACCAGTAGCACCCTCACTCCACCCCCTCATAAAGAGCAGAATATGAAAAAGCACTTACAACGAAACTTACATCATTCTTCTTGTACCAGTTGACAGCATTGGTGAGCACTTCTGAGGCTGCCTCCTTGTCCTCTTGGCTCATGTAGAGAGTCGCTAGAGTGGACACCTGTACACAACAAAAAACTAGTCATCAAAAACATTTATGTGATTTTTTATGCCCGTACACGCACTGTGATCACTCCCACATCTGGTGTTTCACAACATCAGACACAAGTTGTAACTCTATATGATACCCTATTAAAACTACACGTAACACACAGCTCAAAGTGACCACACAGCTACTGCCCAACCACCTTTTAACTAGTTACGTTAGTGTCTTGACTAGTTGTTCAGTTGGAGCAACAGTGTGTCAGCACATCATAGGCCACATTTTGCCAGAAAACAGAAGTAGAAAAAAAAAGGACACTGGAAAAGAAATAAAATGAGCAGACAACATAAGAACAACAACGCCTTGACTACTGTAATCATATTGAAACAGAAAAAAGAGGGAGGGAGCGGTTATTTGAAAGGATTGTTATTAGCACTTATACATAAAAAAAGACATCTATCTCACAGAAAGATAATAGTACACATTTCCATTCTCACAGCCCTAGCCACAAAGATACTGAAAAAAAAAAAGAAGAATAAAACAATTTTAAAAGTTAAACTTTTGGAGAGACAAAACTTACGATGCCTGGACAGTAGGCGAGGTCCCCGAGACCCTTGAGAGCATCACATGCCTGGTAGACACTGCCCTGAGCCAGCTGTAGCTGAGCCAAGATGAGCTGAGCACGCTCCGACTGATTCTTGCCCAATTTGGAGTACTCCTGAAAGAATCAGACACCAGACAGTAAGTTTCATCATTTCAATTGTTATAAATTCATGAAACAGTACCACACCACCTCTTTAACTGCCCAGCACTTTGTGACCTGCGTAGCACCTGCCTACCTGCCTCCCCAGACATCGGAAACACTCTATACAGCGACAAAGCACAGCTGATTAAAACCTGTCAATTCTTTGCCATATCGACAGACCGAAGGGCTAGAACCCAAATGGCCGCTGGATCGGAAAAGTAAAGTAAAGTAAAGTAAGTTATAAATTCACTGTAAAAATTAGATGCCCCCCCCCCCCCCCTTTCCTCCTTGTAGACACAATTTGGATTGTTTCGAAGGCAGGGCCAAATTTTTTAAAATTTAGTTTTAGTAAGTGTTTAACAGCACTTGCAACACAATAAGTTCATATAAGTGCCGAAGAATAGATGTGTCACAAGAGAGTAACATACACAACAAAAGAGGAGGAGAGATAAGGACGATGAATGTTTGATAGGAAAGAACGAGCAAACCACAACAGAGCACCCGCCAACCACCCACACCAACTGTTTTGAGGGGAATACAATACCCCAGAAGATAGATGGAGATATGCATGGAAAAATAACTTCCCCATGCGCAAATTACGAGGTAAGCAAGTAGATGCTTCTAGAAGCAGCCATTCCCCAAAAGGAATAGCTTGAGAGTGAACATTGCAAAAGACATCAGATAAAATAAATGGGTCACTCAACAGGAATATAACATAAAGTTTTGTCAACATACTCAGAGACAGTGACAGGGAAGGGAAAAAAGAGAGTGCCATAGGAGCAGAGAACGAAAGAAAAAAAATGTTATCGAGACAGCCAAACTATAAAAAATTTAAAACAGGCAGGCAGACCTCAGAGGAACATAGATAAGTAGGAAGGAAGGTAGAATAAAAAGGGCGAGCAGCACAGAGAAACACATGTAAAAAGAGGAACCTGGAAAGAAAGGTAAAAAGCAAAAAGATGGAAAAATAGACATATAAATAGACAAGCGGGAAAAAAAAGGCAAAAATAATAGAAGTATTATCTATGTATGTGCCCACCTTTAGAAGAGCTAAGGCCTCATCCATCTTCTTGTCACGGACAAATTGTGCAGCACGAATCAGCACTGGAGACTCCAAGTCAGGGTACTGGTCATGCAGTCTTTTTGCCAACTGGTGACACTGGTCACTCTGGGGGAAACAAAACAGGATGGCCATTAGTTTAAAAAAACTAGGTCAAGACTGACTCATTTGTTTTTAGTTAGTTTTAGTACGAGTTTTACGGCACTTGCAACACAATAAGGTCATATAAGTGCCGAAGATTAGAGGTGTTACAAGAGAGTAACAAACACAAAAAAGAAGTTAGTTGTTGTAAAGCGAACCTTATTGACAGTCATTTAGCGTAAGGAAAAAGCAAGGTTGAAAAGAACAAAAGAGGAGAAATGAAATAGCAAACTTACCACTACTGTCCTCTTAATGACTCTCAACTTCAATTTTAGCTAGGCACTTACCTTACCACACAATCTACATTAATAGATATTTGCTCCTTATTAAATCTTAAATCAAGATGAAAATATTTCATGACAACACAGTGATAAATCAATATCAAACAAATGTCCTCCTGGATAAGAGAGTTTGAATAAAGAGAAACACATCTGTACAATAAAGTTTATTTAATGTAAAAAAACAGGCAAGATAGAGAGACAGACAAAAATAAGAAAAGGAAAGTAAAAAAAGTAGGAACTGCACTTGCACCCTACTACCAAACATGATGAACTTTAGCTAAACAAATTCAGCACAATCTATTTAATAAGTCATTTGCCCGTTTTTTTATAAGTCTTAAATCAAAATGAAGCTTTTTCAAGAAAACAGAGCTCAAAATTGGTCGCTTTTACGGACAAGCGGGCTAACCAAATTTTGGGGGATTCCAGAAATCTTGACCAACAGCAAAGTGGGTATAGCCCTACCTATAGGAGAAGTTTGGTTTCATGGGTGTGTACATTTTGTTTGGTTATAGAAAAAACTCTCCTTGTCTTTTATAGAAACTGAACAAGAGGCACAAACTTTATCTTCGATTTTCTCAAAACAGCATTTTTCGGGATTTAACCCCCCAAAATTTCTTACAAGAGAAAGGAGTGTGCTCAAATACATAGAAGCAGCATATTGACAAAAATACATGTCAGAAACAAGAGAGGGAAAATTAAACAGTAGGACCGACTAGTAACCCTCTCCAAACATTCAAGGACATACAGGCACCCACTCCAACACAAACACAGACCACAACACACATACAGACACAAAACGCTCTCACCTGGTTGGAGTACATGTGCACTAAACACTGGTTTACACTGATGTGCTTGCGCTGAGCAGAGACAGTCTTGTGTTTGAGCCCATCTCCGCTGGCAGCCTTAATCTTACGCTTTGAGTCAAAGATGTTCTGGTCCTGCAATGAGCAAGAGTTAAGGTAATCGATAATCAATGATATCTTTAAAAAGCAAAAAAAACAAAAACAAACAAACCAAAAAAACCCCCCAATAACCAAAAAATAAAAAATAAAACCTACACAACATGCTGCCTGGCAAATATTTCTGCCCCTCAGGGGAAACAAACAGTCTTGAGATGTAAATTTACTGTCGTCTTTTTGCAGATCTATTTTCCACCCAATCTAAGTTTGTGTAGAAATGAAATAAGTTGGCAATCTTTCATAATTTGAAAAGCTGAAATTAATGTGGGGGAATGGACAATAAAAAGACAAAGAGTTTCTCAATCATCAACAATGGAACAACAAGCGTTCTATTCTGAACAGCCTGTCATTGAGAGGTATATGAACTACAACCTTTTTTGATTGCTGTCTTTTTTAAATTATGGTTGTAGTTAGTTTTTTTCTTATTATTATGATCTCAAGAGGCAGGCATCTTTGATGTCAGGAAAAAAAAAAGCAACTTTTGTTTGAGAAGCACTGTACTCAACTAGAAGGGGGAAAAGATGGAAAAATGAGTGAAAAATGTAATGGATGTTGTAACATCTACTTCATTTAGTCTAGCTGTGCAACCATATAGCTTTCACATTACTTTGTTGATGAAAAAATGAGTTACAAGACATAATATTAGTGTAAAAGTTCACTTCCTTAAGTCTAATTATTAGACCTGCATGTGAGCCTCAACCAGATTGTCTGAAAATTTTGCGGACCCCCTCCCCCCCCCCATAATTTATAAGAGCTTTTTAAATTGTGGGTGTCATAAAAGGAAGGACTTCCGAGTAACGAGCGACCACCCGAACAAAGATAATAAAGAAAAGACCTAACCCTAACCCAACCCCTAGGCCTAACCCACAAAAGAACCGCAACAGCCCTCATGTAAAAAGGCCAACACAAGTTTGTTTTTTTTAATTAAAAAATAAAAAGCACACTCCAAAACAAACAAGCCTACATTGCTATAAAAAGAGTTTGATACAATAATACATAGAATAGGAATGAATATGAATCCTCCATATATATAGATCTCTAGATCTAGTTATATTATAGATCAAGTGATCTAAATAAATCTAAATCTAGATCTAGATCTTGTAGAACAAGTGAATAGGAATAGGCCTTGAACGAGAAATCCGCATCCGATTCCAAACAGATGGACTCAGCTGAGTCTAGATCTAGATCTAGATCTAGATCTAGATAAAGATTAGATCTTTATTCTAAGTAAATAATTCACGCACCTGATGAAATGCGTTTTACCAACATTAATATTACAGCACAACCTATAATATGGTTTGACACAATAGAATTGGAATATTAATCCTCCATTGAGGTCTATAATGATCTATAAAATCTAGATCAAGTAGAATTTGCAAGTGAGTCGGACTCGAAAGAATCCACATGATCTGAACTATCAGTAAACAAACGAAATTCAAAATGGCCGCTCGAGTACGAAACTGAAAGTAGATAACTTAGGTCGTCGTACTTTTTCGTATTCGTATCTACTACTCAGGTTCCGACAATTATGTCGGAAACGCCGACGTCGGCAGTCAGCAAGAAAACGAAAGTGCCGACAAAGCCGACGGGAGAAAAAGGGGGCGCTGGCAGTCGGCCAGGCCTTGCACTACGCACATTGACTGATACAGGTGGGCCTAGCGATAGCATCGGTCGGCTCGCGGGTCGGGTCGCGATTGTTGGATTTCAGACGATTGTCGGCAAACATGCAGGTCTAAATTATGCAACCAAATAGCTTTATTACCCTGTTGATGAAAAGAAAATGGATCACAAGACACAATAAAAATTCACCTCATTTTTTTAAACAGGCATGATCACAAAGCCATCAATTACCTTGTTGATTGTGACCACATTGTTAGAGACGACAGCCACCAGTCCCATGTCCGACGGCTTCGTCTTGAGCACCTGGTTGTACAGCTGGGAGGCCTGGTCATTCTTGTTCAGACACTGCTTGATATAGCCCCGCTGAACTCTGGGACAAATAAACAAACAGGACGCTGGCTAGACGGATAAGGGGACACATACAAAGCAACAGACTGACCAGATACAGTCGAATCTGCTCCAATGGCCACTTGTCCGAGACAACCGCCCGTTTAAACGACTACTTCCCCTTTTGTGTTTTATTCGAGATTATATAGACGCTGTCCAAGACGTCCACATGTCAAATATTTTTAACTACTACTTGTTCTTTTAAAGTTTTAAATGAGCTAAAAAGTGGCAAGTATGTTTTTAAACATTTATCGTGTAGTGTGTATCACCTCATTACCTCTAAATCAATCGAACATTTAGAAAAAGACAATTTTTTTTCGGAGTACCCTAACATGACTTGGTATCCACACACATACATGTGTATATCAAACACCAGACATACCTTATAATAGCAAGCTCCTCATCAAGTTCTTCTTCTGTCAAGTCTGGATCATTTTTCAACAGCTCTGAAAGAAACAAGGAATAAGAGTCATTTGGAATGTTGGTCCTATAATAGAAACTTATCATTACTCGGCCTTAATAACTTTAATATTACTCAACTTCATAATACTAGCTTGGGAAAAATCCATACTATTAATCTTAATGGAAAGACAAAATTAAACAAAATTCTTTGTGACCAATCAAAATGACATAGCCTTTACAGTACTTACAAGACATTATTTAAGAGGTTCTAATCCTTTGCACCTAAAGCATCTCTTTTTTCCCCACAAGCCGGTCTCCTTGTCAATAGACTCTGGTTAGTTTTATTAGAGACAAATAAGATAAAATGCTAAAACTACACAGTAATTTTTACATGTAAATAAGTTACAGGTTCCTTACGTCCAGTTTTTCTTTTTGTTTAACATTATTAACACTTTCTGAAATATTTCCTCTTCCTTTTATACTTCTGTGGACAACACTAGTTATGGCATCACTCACCTTCTGCTTTCGCCAACATATCCATAGCTGTGTCAAGATCCCCCTTACCGATGAAGTAACAAGCTTTGTTGTAACAGATCTCATAGGAGCTCTCATCCAGGCCAGGATCAGACTGTGGAACACAAGTTTCATAAATAAAGGGGAGTGAACCACGCTAATTTTATTCTCCGGAACAAAACCTGTCTGGACTGAGTTTAGCAATCAGGAAAAGGCATAGTAAATAGAAAAATGTTGAGCAATGTTCCGTACTTTTACCCCCCTCCTACAATAAAAGTCTTCACACGAGAAAACAAAACAAAGGTAGACTTCACAGAAGTATAAATACTATTAAAATCAGATTAACAAAAGACACTCCAAATTATATACTCTAAGAGCTTCGGAGGAAGTATTGGCTCAAAGCTAGACAGGGGGCCCAAAAACTGTGTAGAAGCTTGGAGGACCTGTAGTGAACAACAGTTTTTGCGAAAGAGATAAACAAAAAAAAAAAAGAAAAAAAAGACACTCCAAGCTCTGTCCAGTCTCAATAATTAAGGTGTTGATGTTTAGTTAACACTCAGCATTATATCAGTCACATTTCAAAGAGTGAAGATAAAGACAATAAAAATACTGGGAGTAAGTAGAGGTGGATATGTGGATAAGACAGCTTTGGAAAGCACACTGACCGCCACTACCACACTAAGAAATGTAAAACTATCTGACAACCGGACATAAAACAGATTCATCAACTGACCATATCTCTGACATCCCACATTTGCAGAGAAGCGATGACCGCGGCAAAGTTGGTCTGTCTCTCCGCATCAAAGTCATCCTGAAAAACACAATATCATGGACACCATTACATTGTAGTTCCACTTTTCAAACAGTTTCCCCTTGTGTACAACATTATCATTACAGTATGCTGTAAAAAGGGAAAGATTATTTCACATATGATTTTAGCATACATAACGCAATTACACTGGAAAACTGTGACCACCAGAGTCGTTAGAATCACACAACAAACCATGGATATTCTATAAACTCTACCAAAAGTACAGGGACCATACCATTCAAAACTTGAAAACTGTCAATATTTACAACAGATGTCATGAATGAAAATGACTCCACTAAAAGAAATCCAAATGTAATACAAGTAAATTGTAAAATTATCCAAAGCAGAGTATTTCAAAGTGTCGTGTTTGCCATAACCCAAAGTTACAACATCAGATTATGTAAAAACAAACAAAAACACACCAAGAGGGGCTGATTTAGTAGTGGTGTATATAATCAGCTCACAAATTCCTGATTACTGAACCCAGAACAATCTCAAGAGATTCAGGACAGTCAGAAAGGGTGAAGTGTTTAAACTGTGACCCTGTTTCAGCATGAAACAATAAACCACTAAACAGCATTTTTTAACTGCGCATCTAACATCTGAGGCTGAAAAGTAAGGAAAATTCTGCTGGGGGTCTAGGGGCACTTTCAAACCACCCACGACAAATCATTATTACCTCTGAGTTCTTGATGAGATCCTTGTACAAAGTGTAACACTCCTCGTACTCTTCGATGCGATACAACTGGAAAAAGAGGAAAAGAAAATTAAAGCTCAGGAATATTTATATGCTCATGGAACTGTGATACAAGAGTCAACCTAAGTAAAAAAAAAAAAGGAAATACTGATGCAATGTTACTGAAAAGCAAAATGAGCAAAAACGATCAACAGTAATAAAAATAAATTTTAACAAAAAAGAGCTGAGAACAAACAGCATCAAATTAAAAGCTGGAACAAAAACCTATACCAGTATGGAAACTGGACAAACAAACAAAAATTGTAATGTAATCATTTTTTAATCTAAATTATTCACAGTGCTTTATTTTTTAGGTTAAAACAAACCCCCAAAGAATGAAAGCACTTGTACTAAAAAAAATTTTTTTTTACCACTTGGCATAGCAGTTCTTTGCTACGAGTGTCATGCTCAGTGATGGAACGAAGAGTGGCCAAGGCATCTGTGGTTCGATTCAGGCGATATTCACAATACGCCTTCTCAAACTTGAGACCCCTGAAAGAAAAAGTATACAAGAAACTTAGGATTATAAAAGCTATCAGAATCAACAATCCCCTCTTCGTCCAAAAAGTACATTTGACCATTTATAAAGATTTTTTAAAAACCACGAAAACAACATAAAAAGACTGTATGAGGAAAAGCAGAGATAAAAGCATCCTAATGTTAAAGGAAGGCAAAGGTATATTTTTATGCATGGAAACAGTAAATCTGCCATTTTGTTTCTCTCAGAAAGACAAAATTAAGTGAGATTTTAATGAAGAGGTTGCATTTAAAGCATATATGTGGAAATTTGAACGGGATATTAAAAGTTTTAAACTATCTAAGTTTTTATATGAAATCATGTATGTATTGAAGAGTTTTCGTCTTGCCTCAAGAAATAAAAGTTAAAGTAAATCACCTCAGCACCAAACCTGTACTTATTACTACATATGGCATTGGACAGAAGAGCGAGGGCCCAACAACAAAATAAGTCACTTGACTTTTTTTGCTTGAGTTAAAATTAAAATAACTTAAAAGGCTGCTCAAAACAGGTAGTATTTTCTTCATGGTCAGAAGCTGTGAGCTGTCGCTACAAAATTAAAATAAACACTTACACTGAGTGGGTCTTGTCCTTGTTCAAAGCATTCAGGGCATCCTCAAAGCGGTCAAGAAGAAGCAAACTCACAATTTTGCATTGGAATGCACTGAATTCCGCAGGATAAAAATGCAGAACTGTTAGAAGAAAACAATTGGCATCATGAATAAATGTTTCAAACCAATGCTAAAATTTTTTTTAAAGCAGGGCATAGAGGCATGATACAAAAATTTATGGTTATAATAAATTATGTCATTAAAAATAGTTAATTCAATATACAGTATTAATGATCAATACCCACTTTAGAGACTTAACCCTGGAAGCGCGACGGCCCTATACAGTGGGTGCCGCATTCAACGAGAAGTCGGCTCCAACAGGGCAATCCTTAATCATCGATTTTTCCTCTATATCTCTTTGTAAATGTACGTTAGCTCCAAGGAGGTTGCAAACAGACCAGTTGCTTTCAACGAGGTCGCGATAACCAAATAAGCAATTAACGGCCCCAAAAGCAAAGAATTTTTCTCCTTTCTCTCCATCTCAAGGGAAGCACAAGACCCATCCCCGATTCCTAACACATTGTATTGCTAGATCTAGTGCGCCTCCTAATATGGGCCCCAAAGATAAGAGGATGGGTGAGGGTTAGCCTACGGTAAGGATGGGAGGGAAAGCGATGCAGGCTGTGTGAAACTGGATGAACTCTGGATGGGTACGTCTAGATCCACATTAAGTCCTTCATTTTTTTTCAATTTTCTTTTCTTCACATGATCAGAAAATCCAAGCTCCCGACTTTACTTTATGTAGATAAAGGCCTAGATGTGAGAGGGTATGTTTCCACACGAGAAGCGTTTGGGAAAAAATATTTTAAAATGCAGAAATCGTCAGAACACAGCTCAAACACACGCACACTGATACTGTTTGAGATTTTCGTCATTGGGGGAACAACTGTTCTAATTACTGGTATTGGTAAATCGTGTAATATACAGAAGAACCTGAGTAAGACGGAATCGCAAGGGAGCCAGAAAAAATTCTGTCTTATACATTTTCCATTTTAGACAGGGGAATGTAGGGGGAGATGGAGGTTGGGGGGGGGGGATCAAAGGCCCAGCCGGTGGGATCAAGGATCGCTTGCCCGATCGGCAAGCAGTGGTCAAAACTTCACACCTCTCAATTGTTATCTTGTCTGATAATGACATGCGTCAGTCTAACTTATCTAATTACCACCAGTGCTTTCCTTTCATGGTACCACTGTTTGACCTATTAAAAACAGAAACATTTGAACATCTACTTTGCTTCCCCCCTTTGCCCCACCCATCAATGCCACCCCTCACTGCCATCATCATTGTAACAACGATTCGAGGAACTCTTTTCTCGGCTGGCCGTACGATCAGGGTGGCGGGCATTGGTCAATCTAGTTTAACACCTCTGGCTTTTGGCTACTCAGGAAAGTTTTCATAGTGGCTCGCTACTCGAGCACTCTCACGGGCAGTCGTGAGATTTCACACCCACACTACACTAACCATCAGCATTGCTCTGGGCTCACATGATGGGGTAACCCTACTCCCCTTCCTTGCCCAGCCGCATGGCCATAGCGTTAAGTTTAGAGCCGGCGGAACCAAACTTGCGGATTTTGTTTCAAATCAGGGTTGAGCGGGCAAAGCATTTTCCGTCTTAGACAGGTGAAACCCCCGGAAGGGAGCGAATTTTTCTATCCATTTCCTCGTTGGACAAGTTTCCGGTTTATACAGGTAATTAGAGAGGAATATATCAAAGGGGGAACGGGGAGATTCTGTTAAGACAGGTTTCCGTTTTATATAGGTTTCCGTTAAGGCAGGTTCGACTGTATATATAATAACTTGTCTCCTTTCTTTTCTTTAGCCTTAGTCACGTTCAACGAGAGATCGGATCCAACGAGGACAACAAGCCGGTCCCTGCAAACCATGTTGAATGCGACACCCACTGTATATTTTTCTCGATAATTTTGCTTCTGAAACCAGGAGACCCCCACCTACATTCAATCGCAATTATCTTGACTTCTCTTCAAGATAAATGGATATTTTTTCCATTGAAAGCAAGGCAAATGAACAACCTTGAAAAGGACACCAATAACTCCATATGCCCAAAAATAGATGTGCGTCTGATTCCACAGCGGCGTGACATATAGATCTATATATATGGAAAATGACGTAGTAAATTGCAGACAAAGTTATAAATTATACAGAGACCAATGACTTTGCAAGTTAGTTTGACATCGTAGCCCGTCTCTAGGCACTGATATCGATCGATAAAGTGACGTGGCCTAGCTGCACGACTCTATGCGTTATTACTTGTTCGGCTGTGCTAATGAACTATTTTTGACTGCATCGCGTTTTGCGCTTTGTTTGATCACTTTTAACATTTTTGAATAGCTCATTCTATAAGCTTTAAGAAAAGATTTGGTTTTATATGCCTTGTATCATCTGTTGAGCCGCAAATGGTCATTTTTCATACATACCAGATATAAATCTCTGATATATCTCAGCCTCAGCTGAATACTCCCCTTCCAAAACCCCATATTTACAACAGATCAACCTTGGTGGCGGGGCATTTGGGGCGTTTCCGTTTTACTCCCGGTGAAACGCTGCACGCTTCTAGGGTCAAAATGGCGTCGGTGGCCTAGTGGTTAAGCTCTCGGACTCGCAACCGTAAGGTCATGGGTTTGAATCCCGTCAGGGACCCGACGTTCTGTCCTTGGGAAAGGCACTTTACACGAATTTTCCTCACTTCACCCAGGTGGGAATGGGTACCCGGCTATAGATAGCAAAAGATCTTGTCAGTTTGTTAGTGTTTGAGCGCTTAATCAGCTGCTTGCACTGTATGCTTCCCGGGAAGCTGAGAATAATTCGGAGTGTTCTATGGTCTGCTGGGGTAATAATATAGTGTAAAGCGCATAGAGCCTGCTGTAGAGCACGGATATGTGCTATACAAATGTTATTTATTATTTATTATTATTAGATCTTGAGGAGGAAGGACTTCCCAACAAGCCACCACCTCAATAATACCAATAAACGCAATAATTAGGTAATTAGGCTTATTAGGCCAGATCTAAAGTACATAAGAAGAGGCCTTACTTACTCTAGATCTTTACAACCAAAACCTAATTATCCAAACAATGACATTCACCCACTGTGCCTTTTCCTAGCCTTTACCGTAATCCCTCTATTCTACAGCTTATTCTATTTTTCTTTACCATATTCTACCAATTAGGAATTTCTTCACATAATATATCACAACAAATAAATGAACACCAGAGTCTAGATCTTTTCTAAATGCAAAGTGGTTATTCTCTGGCATCACGCCACTCAATAGATTGATGGCTATTCTCCAGCATCACGTATAGTTGTACACATTGCTTCTCCACGGCTTTCCATCTCCCGTGAGACACCTGTCCGCATGTTATGGCTTTACACAAACACTCTCATCAGGGTCAGCATTTCTTCACAATGCTATTCACTATAGGTGGACACGCAGCCACTGTTCAAGGAAAGCTCCAGTGAGGGAAGGAGGAATTCTCTGTGTCAGAGGTAACAGCACCAGAGGCGCCAACAACCCTCAGTCACAACTAGAAGTACAAGAGAAGGCGCATCTGGCACTGAGCTCAGTTGCAACACAAGGAAGCGGCTATTCTTACCACGGGTGAGAATAAAAATACAATCGACCTCTCACCCCAGCGTGGGCTATTCTCACCCAGTGTGAAACAAGACCTGTTTTTCCTAATTTCTGAATACTGTCTATCGGTGTGGATTATCAAATTGACTAAAACAGAAAAAAAAAAGATGGTATAGCACAAAAGTAAACTAATTTGGCGGTCTACAAAGATGCTACGGCTATTTCACTTTACGAATCAAGCCGAACTACTCAAGTGGCCAATTTGTTTTGCCTGGATGTTCTCCCTAAATCAAGGCTACTCCTTCTCTCTCTCTCTCTCTTTCTCCCCCCCCCCCCCCCCCTTCTCTCTCTTTCAATGCCCGCTGATAAAATTGCACACTTTCAACACAAGTGCGCTGGAATGTTTTTTTAGTCTCAGTTTAAGTGTTTTTTACGGCCCTTGCAACACAATAAGGTCATAGAAATAAATGCAGAAGACTAGAGGTGTTACAAGGGAGTAACAAACACAAAAAAGAAGAAGGGGAGATAAAGACGATCCGATAGATGTTTGGGGAAAGAAGAAGCAAACCACACCAGAGCACCTACTAATCACACACCTGGAACGTTTGTTAACACCACAGAATCCAATAAAAAGAGTAGAATTCTGTGGTTTACACTGGGTATCACGGAGAACGTACACCGCGTGAGAAAGGCTACGGCTATTCGGACTTGAGTTTGAACAGCCTCCCGTGGCAATTCCGAATCAAATTCCAATGTGCGTACGCAATCACCGGGTGCGAAGCGGACAGATAATTTGACCTTGGCCTTCCTCGGTTTCTACGATCTGACCAAATTTTTCTACACAAGTTAAGAAAAGTATTAGCAATGTCAACAGTTGCAAAATCTGAAATGCTACACCACAAAGGCAAACAGGGGAAGGGAAATCTGAGCTCAAAGCAGAGGAAAAAAATTGAAAATCAAAGTTCCAGAACAGCAAAGGATTATAACTCTATCAATAGGTATCTGCAGTCTAAACCCGCTTTATTTGACGAGAAAGTCAAATCATCTTGATTGATTGGAAGTCCAGTTAAAAATTAAGAAGAGAGTCTCTCTAGTAGTATAAGGTTTTACGGCGCTCGCAACTGCTAAGGTCATATAAGAAGAGAAAAGTTTAAACCCTTCCAAAGGGAACAAAAGTCAGTCATTCAAAGTAACATTGGTCTAAAGGAGCTTTTCCACAGCAAACTTTACATGATGTTGAAATAAAATCAGGAAAGGAGTTGTGCAGAGGGCTGGCCGATCAACAACACACAAAAGAGGGGACGTTTTGAGAGGGGTGTACCCTAACCCTACCCATAACCTAACCCTAACTTTGTTTTGCTCAGCGGACCTTCCGGCCCTCTGCGGAACTCCTCGCAAAATCAGGACAAAAAAAAAAAAATTCTGATGGAATCTAGCGTTGGGCAAGCAACAATCCTTCTACAGTATTGGGGTTTCAGTCCGAATAGGCTATTCAGACTCGAGTCCGAATAGATATAGACTTAGGCACTTCGAGGTGAGAATGGCCAAAAAACGGAGTGGTTATCCGTACAATTGTGCGAACAACCCTGTCTAGTGATCCGTACAATATTGTACCGTACAATTGTGCGGACAACTCTGTCTAGTTATCCGTACAACGTTGTACGCACAATTGTACGAAGTACAAATTTTTAAATTTTTTGTCAGACCTCATCTGCCGATCTGATGCCAGCCGCCTCATGCCTCATGTAAAAAAAAAAAAACCCAACTAGATCTAGACCTAAGTCTAGATCTAGACTCTAGATAGATAGATCTAGAAATGTGTGTTGCGTTGAAATCGTGCTGTAAAAATATTTAAGCTTAATAAAATCTACCTCCTCCTGTTGATAGTTCTGATGGCCGAAATGACATCGTGTCTGCGTTAGAAGAAGTACTATATTTTGAGTGTGGGTTCGAATCCCAGTCCCGAAAGTTTTGTTTTGTTTTGTTTTTTTCTTCCTCTTCTCTCTCCTCAGCCGACCGACCAACAATTTTTTTCTCCCATAATTGTATGTTTTGACTTCAAAGATTTCCACTCATGGTTTTGTGTAAACAAAGAAACATAGATCTATAGATCTAGTATAAAATATAAATAGATCTACTTATATTTTAATAGAAGTATAGATCTAGCCTACTTTTCCTTTTAGGTCTACCAATTCAGGCCTGGTTAAAGTTATTACATTGATGCTCAACCCAGGGAAGAACCAACTGGATGACTAGATCTAGAATCTAGTGATCTAGATATAATCTAGATCTAGGCTTATTTTTACCGACAACCTCCAAAAATCGAATAATTGTATGAATAACTCTGTCTGGTTATTAGTTCAATTGTACTAATAGCTAGTTAGAGTTGTACGCACTATTGTACCAATAACCGCAGCCCCAAAAAAAGGCTCGCCCTCTCACCCGGGGTCAGAAACCTACAACTGTCGCAACAGTAATGGCCATCACCCCGACAGAGGAGATGGACAGCTATGCAGAAGAGACATGTGCAACTGAACATGACGCTGGAGAATAGCCATCGATCCATTGACCATCCTGACGCTGGAGAATAGCCACTTGCTTTTTATATTGGAAGAGGCTAGCTGTACTTAATGATGGCTAGACTGGCAGTCTTAAGTACGGCTAGACTCGCAGTCTAGCCGTACTTATTCATAATATGATGGCTAGACTGACCATTTACAAAAAAATAGGCCTACTGAATTGTAAATATACATTTTTAGTGTGCAGTACCTATAGTATTTGTATTTGAGACATAACCAGGTGCCTTAATGACAGTGCATGTATTTTAAACCTCCTGTTTTCTAATGTTAATAGGGCCTAAGATAAGTACGGCTAGACTGTCAGGCTAGCCGTACTTAATATTGATGGCTGAATTGTAAATAAAATTTTTAGTTTGCAATGCCTAAAGTATTTGTATTTCAGACAAAACCAAAAGGTGCCTTACTGACTTGCATGTATTTGAACCTGAATAATTACTAGATCTAGATCTATACTATCCCGCCCTTGGCGCGACCGTGCCCTGAGCGCGACCAATTCCCCATTTTTCCTTCTGTGCAGCTCGTGTGCAATCTGTTTTATTAGAGTTACTTCAGTTACGTGCCTTGTCTAGTTCCACTTTTGGTCAATCCTTTTTCGAGAACGTCAGTCGTCTGCTAGTGCAGCAGTCGAGTTCGAAGTGAAAGGCTTATCAGAAACATTCTTTTAGAGAAGTTTTCTTCATTACTAAACTAGAGTAGCTGGCCCAACCCGCGACCACTTGTCTCTGTACTCTCTGTTATTAATAAGATAATTGTTTTCATCATAATTTGATAAAGAAATGATTTTACTAACCTTTAAATGGTGTACTAACAACTTTCTTGCACCTGTCATATCTGTGCGCGCATGGTTGCGCCCTGTTCTGTATGCGGTCGCGCTGAGGGCATGCGGTCGCGCCAAGGGCAGAGCATTAACATGTTAAAATGCGAAATCTGAGAATGACGTTTTGGAATGATTGACGATATCACGGTATAAACCGGAAGTTGACACACTGAAGCGGCCCTGAACATGGATTGCATGACCTATTTTGCTGACGGCCACCTCTATTCTCACCCGGAGTGAGAATAGTGCAGGCGAGTCTTGTGGCTATTCTCACCCGGTGTGCGTTCACCAAATTTTGTGTTCACCTTAAACCACAGAATTCTACACTGTGATTTATTATAACAGAAAAATGGTAGAATTCTGTGCCGTGAACAAACGTTCCATTACAACTGTAGCCTACTAAAAGCGTACAATTTTGTCTGTGGGCAGTGGAGAGAGAGAGAGAAAGAGAGAGAGGAGTAGCGCGAGAATTTCCGGGCAAAACAAAATGGCGACCCGCGTAGTTCGGCTCGATTCGAAAAGTTAAATAGCCGTAGCATCTTTGTAGACAACCAAATTAATTTACTTTTGTGTTTTAACATAATTTTTTAACTTTGTTTTGGTCAATTTAATCGTCCACACCGATAGACAGTATTCAGAAAGAGACAGAGAGAGAGAAAAGAGGGGAGGAGTTGATCTTAATCTTGCGAGAACTTCCGGATAGCCACTTTCTTTGCTGACAGAGACCGCTGAGAAGCAAAATACGACAAGTGGTCGCGGGTTGGGCCAGGTACTCTAGATCTAATGAGACCTGTGTACTTAACAGGCTTGAGTCGATAGGGCCAAACCTAGATCTAAGTACGGCTAGCCACTTCGTTTTATATTTTCTCTCTGCAGCCAGAGTGGCCAGCAGACGCCTCCACTCCACCTACCGACAACTTCCGTCCATATGGTGGAACGAAGATAGTCCAAAAACATTGAATTGGTTTCGACATTTGCTTTATGTAGGGACAAAAATGATTAATGAACAACATATACTCACTTCTTCCACATGTCTTTACGGCCTTTTCAAATTCCTGTTTCTGTCCAAACCGATTCAGTTCCACATAGAGAGACTGAAGTGACGGTGCTTTCTGCGCCATATTGGATGAACTACCAGATAAATTAGTTCTTTGAAAGATTTCATACTAACAGTCAAACCTGATTTCCGGTTTGATAAAAATGAGAGTTCATCAGTTCATGAAAAATGATCTCCATAAAAATATGGTACATAATACATTGTTCTACACTAAGTGTAGAATTCTGTGAAATAAGCTCGACAATAAAAATATTACTTTTATTTATGTTGCACTGGGGTTGTTTGCCATTATTGTATTTAATAAGACAAAAGTAAAAACTCCGTTTCTAGATGAAGAAGGTTGATTTAATAAGAAAATAATATGAGGTCTGTCCTCTCTGGCTTCACTGACAAGACTAAATCATAATGAGCATGAGTACATGTGAGGAGTACAGGAAGGAGGAGTGAGTAAAGATCACTAAGATCAGACAATCTTTGTTGTAAGGGTAGATAAAATAAAAGTACAATTACAGGGACATAATTCAACTTAATCATGTTAATATAGGGACCAACAATCCAGGATTTATTGTTTCCCTTCTATATATTGATAAAAGCAATCTAATAATAGTCTAACAATTTATTGTGTTTGTCCATTGGTTCACTCACTTTTTACACTCTATAGTTTCAACTGAGCGCTCTCTCTCTCTCTCTCTCTCTCTCTCTCTCTCTCTCTCTCTCTCTCTCTCTCTCTCTCTCTCTCTCTCTCTCTCTCTCTCACGTCGACGCGCAAGCGTACACACACACACACACACACACACACACACACACGCACGCAAACACACAAATACATACACACAAACACACACACACGCGCGCACGCTCGCGCACACACACACACACACACACACACACACACACACACACACACACACTCACACTCACACACATACACATAATCTTTGGAGCATAATTGTTCCTTTGGTACAAAGAAAAATTAATAATGTGAGGCCAAAGGCAACGGGTTTATTTATTATGATGGGATCGAACAGAATGACTTTTGAGAAGCGAAACCCCGCTCTTCCCCCCCCCCCCACTCCTAAAAAACCAACCCAACAACAACAACAACAAAAAACGATTAAGTGAGAGTGTCGAGCTGGTCGGCATAAAGCAAGAGAGAGAGAGAGAGAGAGAGAGAGAGAGAGAGAGAGAGAGAGAGAGAGAGAGAGAGAGAGAGAGAGAGAGAGAGAGAGAAAGAAAGAAAGAAAAGAGAAAGAAAGAAAGAAAGAAAGAAAAGAGAAAGAAGGAAGGGGTCGTAGAGAAAGTGTGTGTCCCTTCGAGTGTTGTTTGTTACATGTAAAGGGGGATGGGGTATGGATGGCTTAGTTTGGTGCCAACATTGGCTTTTTCAAGCATAATATTTTGTGTTCTGAGTATACTAAAACTATAACACATTGTTGAGTTCGTTTTATTTTTTATTATTATTGTTATTATTCATATTAGTATTCATTCATTTTTACCATAATTTATCAATATTTTTGCCGCCATCATCCTTTTAAGATAAGATAAGATAAGATAAGATAAGATAAGATAAGATAAGATAAGATAAGATAGTACTTTATTATCCCAGACAGAAACTTTCCTTGGCTGTACAGGACCGTAAAAACACATGCAGGTATACATAAAAAATTTAAATTACATATATTATTCTCATTAAAATTCAATATGAAACGAGAAGTAAAGCTGACAAAATGTACATTTACATCAAATGCATCATTCAACCACATGCAGGAATTCAAATACTAGACCTTTAGAGTTATATACAGATACATACTCTAAGAGCAACACCCAGCTATGCTCATTCTGACAAAAGCCTTCATATGCTAGATGGTAAAAAAACTTCTTTTATATCTTTCTGTCTTTGTTTTTGGAGGTACATATCTGCCGCTGCGTGATCTTACAATTTGTGTGGAAAAGGGGTGTTAATGGGTCGTTTATAGTGCTTTTTATTTGTTTTATACGTGTGGTGTTATACATTTCATCCATTCTATTAAAATCATATCCAGAGATCTTGCTGGCTTTCTTAATGGTTCTGTCAAATTTTTCTTTATCTTTCACCTTACAATTCCCACCCCAGCAGCAAATACAAAATAATAGCACACTTTCAATCATAGAATGGTGAAAAGGGGACATAATCTTATTGTCAACACGGAAACTTCTTAATTTCCTTAAAAGAAACATTCGTTGATTTACTATTTATATTTTTATGCACAAGAGCAGCGTGGGGATGCCAGTCAAGCTTGTTGTCGATTGTTACACCAAGATACTTGTAAGAGCTTACCACCTCCACCTCTTCTTCTTTAATAAATAGTGGTTGCAATTGGTCTTTTTTTTACTCTAAAGTCTATTATTAATTCCTTTGTCTTTTTTACATTTAGTAAAAGAAAGTGGTTATCACACCAATTTGTAAATAGATTCACAGCGTCCCTGTATTCATTCTCATTTGTTGTTATAAGGAATAGGCCTTGTAGAGTGGAATCATCCCCAAATGTTATTAGTTTGATGTTTTTGTTATCAAAAATACAGTTGTTGGTGTAGAGCGTAAACTAGACAGGGGAGATTACACAGCCTTGTGGCGCACCGGTGTTCGTGAATATTAGGTCGGATTTTACACCATTTAATTTTACATACTGAGGTCGATTGGTTAGGAACTCAAGAATCCAAGCTATAATGTTCTTGTTTATGTTCATGTTAATTAATTTTGAAACCATTATGTGCGGTTGGATTGTGTTGAATGCGGATGAAAAATCAGCAAAAGTATCCTGCAGTAATTTCTTGGTGTGTCTATGTGTTTGTAGATGTTATCTAAGAACACGAGAATGGCATCCTCCACGCCCCCCTTGGCACGATATGCAAATTGCATGTTATCCTGTATGTCTTCTGTTGATTTTCTAAGTTCTTTCAAAACAAGTTTTTCTAAACATTTCCTGAGGACTGATGTTAAAGCCACAGGTCTTTGGTCTTTCAAATTTTGTATTGATTGTTTCTTAGGGATTGAGTAAGCGTAAATATGTATCCAAAATACGGAGATCTGTACAAGCCTCATCGCCACTGAGCAGCGCCGGAAGTAGATGAAGTAGATTTTAGGCATATTATAGGCTCTAATAAGTGATTGCTGTCGTTGTTGGTGATGGCAGCGGTGGCGGTGACATCCGGAATGGTCGTGGTGGTGGTGATGGTGATGTTGGTGGTGCTGTTTTAATTTTCTGATGTTCGGAGTAAATGTTCGGGAGGAAGCAGGTTTTTTTTTTTCTTCAGATTTGAATCAATTAATCGACCAGCGGGTTGTTTGCGGGTGCTTCTGGTATGGTTTACTCCTTCTTTCCTATCAAGCATCTATCATCCTAATCTCTCCTCTTGTAACGCCTCTAGAATATATAACATTCGGCACTTATATGACTTATTTTGCGTTGCAAGTGCCGTAAACCTCTTAATAAAACAAAAAAAAGCAACCGTCTTTCCCATATTCCGTTTTTAAAAAATGCTACTTTTTAACCTTCACTGGGTCTTGACATGCCATTTCTAAAGTCAGATACGCCAGAGTAAAGGAGTGGGGAATAATATGCCTATTCCGGTCTAGACGGTGTTTGAAGAAGGCTGGTTCGTTAACTTTACATCGTCCCAGAGAAAAATACTTTTAAAAAAGAATTTGAGTGTGTGACTTTTCAAGACGTAAGGCTACGAGCAACAATTAATTGTGATATTTCCCTTAACATGCCCTTAGCATAAACCATTTTGTGCCTTTAATCGATCATAACTTTTATACGTCTTGGAAAATCGGAATAAGCTGTTGGTATTGTTTCAGGTTCTCGCTGATAAGGCATAATATTATAGCCCACGATTTAGCATAAGGATAACATGCCTATACATTAGAATCACAGGTAGCCCTACAACAGAGGTATAGATAATTGCCACAAACTGTCGATATTATGAAACCATCCGAATTATGTAGGTATACTCAATCAATAAAAAATAATAATATATATATAGAAAACCTGATCATTATTTATAACCACTTTTCCTAACAATTATAATAATATAGAATCGTGTACCTTGTTATAATAATTGGAATTAAATTCGAAGTAGCAAGTAAGTGTACTTTGATTTAGTTGCGTGTTATAGAAACAGCACCGAGGTTTCCAACCTCATTAAACCAGCAGAGATCTACAAAGTCACGATCTTACGGGTCAGCTTTGCGGAGGGACAATTTACTTTTCGTTTTGAGGAAGCGTGTGACATTTAGGAAGACCCAAGCTGGTTTACCCTCTCTCATTCCTGACCATGTCCCCTTCTGTAGACTTGTTTTGTTCCCCTGCTTAATTGGGTTTTCTTTTGGTTCCTGTTTGGTTTAGTGTAGGATGCACTCTTTGCGTATTCTGTTTTTGTTCTGTTTTTATTAATATTTTTTTTTTATTAAACATTTTTTGATTTAAAAAGAAATCGGGCAAGAGCTTCGTGTATATTTTGAGGATAAAGATCGGAGTAGTTTGCACTCGAGGAACTTGAGTTTTTCTAAGATCTGTGAAGTCTGCGAACCAACAGTCTCTTCTGAAAATAATGGATAGGCAAAGTATAGAAATTCGATACCCTTTTATATTTGTGTGTGTGAATGTGTGCGTGTATGTGTGTGTGTGTGTGTGTGTGTGTGTGTGTGTGTGTGTGTGTGTGTGTGT